AGGCGAACCTTTCCATGCATTTTAGTCGCCAAATCAGCTAGCTGACCAGTGCCTCCCACATGTTCTACTAGCAGCTCCAAGTTCTCGACTTGCTCTCTGATCTTCGCACTTCTGACCTTCAAATGACGCGTGCGCCAACTTCCTGGTCCTCCAGCAATCATCGCAACTGCCGAGGCGTTGTCCACCAGAAGACGTCGTGGAACATGAGCACCTACCAACTCGTCCAGCAAACATCCAATGTTCTCAAGTCGCGTCGTTGAAGTTGAAGCCTCCAGTAGCACTGCTTCCATGACCGACAAGGTAACGAAGGCCTGCTTACTGGCTTTCCAGGCTACAGGGTAACCATTCACTGTAACCACTGAAGCTCCAAACGATTTTTCACCACTTGGCGAGAAACTCGCGTCGCTCCACGCGACAAGTTCGGGTGTAGTCTGCTGGAACTCGTTGTCTGCCTTGCTCCCTATGACCATCTTCATTGATGCCGTAGTCTTCAGGTACGCTAACAAACGCTTGGCAATTTGAACAACGCGGTTGGGGCACTTGCTGACTTTCGAGGCCATATACGCTACAGGAAACTGCAAGTCTGGTCTGCAACGCATCATCAACCACAGCTGTTCGCCCACTGCCTTCTGACCTTGCTTGAGCTCGGCCATGGTGTAGTTCTCCTCCTCAGAGTCATCACCTGCCAACCATTCTCGCGGACACGGAAGCTTCGTGGACAGGGCATCTTCCATCCCATAGCTGCGCAGCAACTCCCGGATGTACCCTTCCTGTGATAGCTCGAACGCGAAGTCTGGCCTTTGCTGTATCTCCATTCCCAGATACCGGTTCCGGTAGGTCCATCTGCCCATTCCAGCTCGCTACAGGGCCAGGCCTCTTGGATCCAGGCGTGGATTGCTTCAATGACCGGCCTATCCGACAGAGGTGATGATAAGGGCCAGTAGGCTACCCTTTGACCTCAGCACATCATCCTCGTCGAAAGCAAGCCATATCTCTGAATCTGCAGAGGACTGCTTCAGCACGATAGTGCGACCTTGGAATGATATGCGGGCTTCTTTTAAGCGTTGGGTTCTGCACTTCGCCCAGATGGCCGGCGATTCACGAAGGCCGTACAGAGGCCGCATGACTTCCCATACTTCATCACCCCGCGCAAGTCCAGCATCGATGAGAACCCTCGGAGGGAATATTGCATACCTTGCTAGATGGTCTGGCCACGAAGCCAGGAGAAAGGCTCCTGTGACGTCGGAGGTTCCACCATACCAACGTTTGTGGGAAGCATAAGCTAAGGCTAGCCGCACTGTGTCGGCGCTCACCCCGCTAGCATACAAGCTGAAAGTTTCGTCATCACGGTCAACTTGATTCCCACATAGGACGAGTCGAAACTTTCTCCTCACCTTCTTGCCCTTGACCTGTGGTGGCTTCAAGGTGAAGACGCCCTTTGACTGTACCAACTTCAGAAGGCCTTGAGCTTCCATCTGCTTTGCACGGTCAATTGGCATGGGCCTTAACGTTCCATCTAAGAGCTGGGTCACCTCTTTCTCCAAAGCTTCCCGCCACTGATCCAAAGCAGCACGAACTTGCTGTAGAGGAACTGTGTGGACTACTTCTAGATCTCCATCCAACTCTTGTAGAAGTCTTTCATAGTCCGGTTCCTCTTGCACCATTGCTGCTTTCAAACATGCTTCTGATGAAGCCTTTCCACCGGCCGCCTTCAGCTGAGTAACCTCGTCCATCATGTCCTCCAGGTAGGCTCGCACGTTGTCCACTTCATCATCTACTTGTTGCCCTGCTCGGCGACATTCTTCAGCAAGGATCTCCTCCTCCTCTATCATCATCCTCAGACGCTCAGATCTCTCTTGAAGATCCTCGAGAAGCTGATTTTGGCTTTCTGT